TAGAGGGTCCAGGGGGTAGAGGGTCCAGGGGGTAGAGGGTCCAGGGGGTAGAGGGTCCAGGGGGTAGAGGGTCCAGGGGGTAGAGGGTCCAGGGGGTAGAGGGTCCAGGGGGTAGAGGGTCCAGGGGGTAGAGGGTCCAGGGGGTAGAGGGTCCAGGGGGTAGAGGGTCCAGGGGGTAGAGGGTCCAGGGGGTAGAGGGTCCAGGGGGTAGAGGGTCCAGGGGGTAGAGGGTCCAGGGGGTAGAGGGTCCAGGGGGTAGAGGGTCCAGGGGGTAGAGGGTCCAGGGGGTAGAGGGTCCAGGGGGTAGAGGGTCCAGGGGGTAGAGGGTCCAGGGGGTAGAGGGTCCAGGGGGTAGAGGGTCCAGGGGGTAGAGGGTCCAGGGGTAGAGGGTCCAGGGGGTAGAGGGTCCAGGGGGTAGAGGGTCCAGGGGGTAGAGGGTCCAGGGGGTAGAGGGTCCAGGGGGTAGAGGGTCCAGGGGGTAGAGGGTCCAGGGGGTAGAGGGTCCAGGGGGTAGAGGGTCCAGGGGGTAGAGGGTCCAGGGGGTAGAGGGTCCAGGGGGTAGAGGGTCCAGGGGGTAGAGGGTCCAGGGGGTAGAGGGTCCAGGGGGTAGAGGGTCCAGGGGGTAGAGGGTCCAGGGGGTAGAGGGTCCAGGGGGTAGAGGGTCCAGGGGGTAGAGGGTCCAGGGGGTAGAGGGTCCAGGGGGTAGAGGGTCCAGGGGGTAGAGGGTCCAGGGGGTAGAGGGTCCAGGGGGTAGAGGGTCCAGGGGGTAGAGGGTCCAGGGGGTAGAGGGTCCAGGGGTAGAGGGTCCAGGGGGTAGAGGGTCCAGGGGGTAGAGGGTCCAGGGGGTAGAGGGTCCAGGGGGTAGAGGGTCCAGGGGGTAGAGGGTCCAGGGGGTAGAGGGTCCAGGGGGTAGAGGGTCCAGGGGGTAGAGGGTCCAGGGGGTAGAGGGTCCAGGGGGTAGAGGGTCCAGGGGGTAGAGGGTCCAGGGGGTAGAGGGTCCAGGGGGTAGAGGGTCCAGGGGGTAGAGGGTCCAGGGGTAGAGGGTCCAGGGGGTAGAGGGTCCAGGGGGTAGAGGGTCCAGGGGGTAGAGGGTCCAGGGGGTAGAGGGTCCAGGGGGTAGAGGGTCCAGGGGGTAGAGGGTCCAGGGGGTAGAGGGTCCAGGGGGTAGAGGGTCCAGGGGGTAGAGGGTCCAGGGGGTAGAGGGTCCAGGGGGTAGAGGGTCCAGGGGTAGAGGGTCCAGGGGTAGAGGGTCCAGGGGGTAGAGGGTCCAGGGGGTAGAGGGTCCAGGGGGTAGAGGGTCCAGGGGGTAGAGGGTCCAGGGGGTAGAGGGTCCAGGGGGTAGAGGGTCCAGGGGGTAGAGGGTCCAGGGGGTAGAGGGTCCAGGGGGTAGAGGGTCCAGGGGTAGAGGGTCCAGGGGGTAGAGGGTCCAGGGGGTAGAGGGTCCAGGGGGTAGAGGGTCCAGGGGGTAGAGGGTCCAGGGGGTAGAGGGTCCAGGGGGTAGAGGGTCCAGGGGGTAGAGGGTCCAGGGGGTAGAGGGTCCAGGGGGTAGAGGGTCCAGGGGGTAGAGGGTCCAGGGGTAGAGGGTCCAGGGGGTAGAGGGTCCAGGGGTAGAGGGTCCAGGGGGTAGAGGGTCCAGGGGGTAGAGGGTCCAGGGGGTAGAGGGTCCAGGGGGTAGAGGGTCCAGGGGGTAGAGGGTCCAGGGGGTAGAGGGTCCAGGGGGTAGAGGGTCCAGGGGGTAGAGGGTCCAGGGGGTAGAGGGTCCAGGGGTAGAGGGTCCAGGGGGTAGAGGGTCCAGGGGGTAGAGGGTCCAGGGGGTAGAGGGTCCAGGGGGTAGAGGGTCCAGGGGGTAGAGGGTCCAGGGGGTAGAGGGTCCAGGGGGTAGAGGGTCCAGGGGGTAGAGGGTCCAGGGGTAGAGGGTCCAGGGGGTAGAGGGTCCAGGGGTAGAGGGTCCAGGGGGTAGAGGGTCCAGGGGGTAGAGGGTCCAGGGGGTAGAGGGTCCAGGGGGTAGAGGGTCCAGGGGGTAGAGGGTCCAGGGGGTAGAGGGTCCAGGGGGTAGAGGGTCCAGGGGGTAGAGGGTCCAGGGGGTAGAGGGTCCAGGGGGTAGAGGGTCCAGGGGGTAGAGGGTCCAGGGGTAGAGGGTCCAGGGGTAGAGGGTCCAGGGGGTAGAGGGTCCAGGGGGTAGAGGGTCCAGGGGGTAGAGGGTCCAGGGGGAGAGGTCCAGGGGGTAGAGGGTCCAGGGGGTAGAGGGTCCAGGGGGTAGAGGGTCCAGGGGGTAGAGGGTCCAGGGGGTAGAGGGTCCAGGGGGTAGAGGGTCCAGGGGGTAGAGGGTCCAGGGGGTAGAGGGTCCAGGGGGTAGAGGGTCCAGGGGTAGAGGGTCCAGGGGGTAGAGGGTCCAGGGGGTAGAGGGTCCAGGGGGTAGAGGGTCCAGGGGGTAGAGGGTCCAGGGGGTAGAGGGTCCAGGGGGTAGAGGGTCCAGGGGGTAGAGGGTCCAGGGGTAGAGGGTCCAGGGGGTAGAGGGTCCAGGGGGTAGAGGGTCCAGGGGTAGAGGGTCCAGGGGGTAGAGGGTCCAGGGGGTAGAGGGTCCAGGGGGTAGAGGGTCCAGGGGGTAGAGGGTCCAGGGGGTAGAGGGTCCAGGGGGTAGAGGGTCCAGGGGGTAGAGGGTCCAGGGGGTAGAGGGTCCAGGGGGTAGAGGGTCCAGGGGGTAGAGGGTCCAGGGGTAGAGGGTCCAGGGGGTAGAGGGTCCAGGGGGTAGAGGGTCCAGGGGGTAGAGGGTCCAGGGGGTAGAGGGTCCAGGGGGTAGAGGGTCCAGGGGGTAGAGGGTCCAGGGGGTAGAGGGTCCAGGGGGTAGAGGGTCCAGGGGGTAGAGGGTCCAGGGGGTAGAGGGTCCAGGGGGTAGAGGGTCCAGGGGGTAGAGGGTCCAGGGGGTAGAGGGTCCAGGGGGTAGAGGGTCCAGGGGGTAGAGGGTCCAGGGGGTAGAGGGTCCAGGGGGTAGAGGGTCCAGGGGGTAGAGGGTCCAGGGGGTAGAGGGTCCAGGGGGTAGAGGGTCCAGGGGGTAGAGGGTCCAGGGGGTAGAGGGTCCAGGGGGTAGAGGGTCCAGGGGGTAGAGGGTCCAGGGGGTAGAGGGTCCAGGGGGTAGAGGGTCCAGGGGGTAGAGGGTCCAGGGGGTAGAGGGTCCAGGGGGTAGAGGGTCCAGGGGGTAGAGGGTCCAGGGGGTAGAGGGTCCAGGGGGTAGAGGGTCCAGGGGGTAGAGGGTCCAGGGGGTAGAGGGTCCAGGGGGTAGAGGGTCCAGGGGGTAGAGGGTCCAGGGGGTAGAGGGTCCAGGGGGTAGAGGGTCCAGGGGGTAGAGGGTCCAGGGGGTAGAGGGTCCAGGGGGTAGAGGGTCCAGGGGGTAGAGGGTCCAGGGGGTAGAGGGTCCAGGGGGTAGAGGGTCCAGGGGGTAGAGGGTCCAGGGGGTAGAGGGTCCAGGGGGTAGAGGGTCCAGGGGGTAGAGGGTCCAGGGGGTAGAGGGTCCAGGGGGTAGAGGGTCCAGGGGGTAGAGGGTCCAGGGGGTAGAGGGTCCAGGGGGTAGAGGGTCCAGGGGGTAGAGGGTCCAGGGGGTAGAGGGTCCAGGGGGTAGAGGGTCCAGGGGGTAGAGGGTCCAGGGGGTAGAGGGTCCAGGGGGTAGAGGGTCCAGGGGGTAGAGGGTCCAGGGGGTAGAGGGTCCAGGGGGTAGAGGGTCCAGGGGGTAGAGGGTCCAGGGGGTAGAGGGTCCAGGGGGTAGAGGGTCCAGGGGGTAGAGGGTCCAGGGGGTAGAGGGTCCAGGGGGTAGAGGGTCCAGGGGGTAGAGGGTCCAGGGGGTAGAGGGTCCAGGGGGTAGAGGGTCCAGGGGGTAGAGGGTCCAGGGGGTAGAGGGTCCAGGGGGTAGAGGGTCCAGGGGGTAGAGGGTCCAGGGGGTAGAGGGTCCAGGGGGTAGAGGGTCCAGGGGGTAGAGGGTCCAGGGGGTAGAGGGTCCAGGGGTAGAGGGTCCAGGGGGTAGAGGGTCCAGGGGGTAGAGGGTCCAGGGGGTAGAGGGTCCAGGGGGTAGAGGGTCCAGGGGGTAGAGGGTCCAGGGGTAGAGGGTCCAGGGGGTAGAGGGTCCAGGGGGTAGAGGGTCCAGGGGGTAGAGGGTCCAGGGGGTAGAGGGTCCAGGGGGTAGAGGGTCCAGGGGGTAGAGGGTCCAGGGGGTAGAGGGTCCAGGGGGTAGAGGGTCCAGGGGGTAGAGGGTCCAGGGGGTAGAGGGTCCAGGGGGTAGAGGGTCCAGGGGGTAGAGGGTCCAGGGGGTAGAGGGTCCAGGGGGTAGAGGGTCCAGGGGGTAGAGGGTCCAGGGGGTAGAGGGTCCAGGGGGTAGAGGGTCCAGGGGGTAGAGGGTCCAGGGGGTAGAGGGTCCAGGGGGTAGAGGGTCCAGGGGGTAGAGGGTCCAGGGGGTAGAGGGTCCAGGGGGTAGAGGGTCCAGGGGGTAGAGGGTCCAGGGGGTAGAGGGTCCAGGGGGTAGAGGGTCCAGGGGGTAGAGGGTCCAGGGGGTAGAGGGTCCAGGGGGTAGAGGGTCCAGGGGGTAGAGGGTCCAGGGGGTAGAGGGTCCAGGGGGTAGAGGGTCCAGGGGGTAGAGGGTCCAGGGGGTAGAGGGTCCAGGGGTAGAGGGTCCAGGGGTAGAGGGTCCAGGGGGTAGAGGGTCCAGGGGGTAGAGGGTCCAGGGGGTAGAGGGTCCAGGGGGTAGAGGGTCCAGGGGGTAGAGGGTCCAGGGGGTAGAGGGTCCAGGGGGTAGAGGGTCCAGGGGGTAGAGGGTCCAGGGGGTAGAGGGTCCAGGGGGTAGAGGGTCCAGGGGGTAGAGGGTCCAGGGGGTAGAGGGTCCAGGGGGTAGAGGGTCCAGGGGGTAGAGGGTCCAGGGGGTAGAGGGTCCAGGGGGTAGAGGGTCCAGGGGGTAGAGGGTCCGTCTTTTTCTAATAGATGAAAATACTGTGTTGGTGAAAATAAATAGGTAACAAAACAACATATTCCACATTTGCCATCAGACCCCACAAATATTTGTCCTTATAATACATTATAACTGAAAGGTATACACAACTATGCCAATGCTAAGGATTTCAGGTTATATGCTCGGTTTTTCTTAATAGAAATGGAAACCACACATCTCTAGGTACACAAGAACATGATTTTCCCCTAAAGAAAACTGAATTGTTGCAGAGGTGAGTGCTTCCTAACAGGCCTCTAGTATAACAATGCTTTCTAATTGTGTAGTGTATTATACTATGTAATTTCAGACTTAGAGAAATGTCTGAAATTCCTGTTATTTTTATTAACAGTTAAAACATAGTCTGTTGAGTCCAATAAGAAAACATTGAGAAATGCTCTTATTTCCATGTATGACAGAAGCTTACTTATATACTTCATTTCTCTATTTACTAGAACACCTCTGAGGTGGGTTTTCTTTTTTTTTTTTTTTTGGCATTTTATATTCAGTGTCCATTGGCTCCTTCTGAGAGTATCCGTGAAGGTTCAGTAAATTTTGCAGTGAACAAGTAAAAAAGTGCTGGTGTGGGTACCAAAGCCAAAAGTGGTAAATCTTGCTCGAGTTTATCCACTCTGGTAATGGAGATTATTCCATAGGCATGGAGCAGCCAGTGGCTAAAGAGAACAATAAGTCTCTTCTTTCTGACCAGAAGATCATAGCAGTTCTATACCATTTTAGGAAAGAAAGAAAAGATAAACATAGATTATTGTAATGAATCAGAGTATTTGTTACATTTTAATTTAAAGTAGTCTGTTTTCACACAGAATTACAACCTCAGAATCACAGCTAAAAAGAACCTAATATTCACTTATTTTGGCCACTATACAGCTAAGCCAGGTTTCCTCCAGTCACCGGAGCAGTCAGCAGCAGCTGAGTCTATAGGAAGTACAGACACCCACTTCCTTAATCCATTATTACTGGAGCCTCGATAATTACAAGGAAGCAGAAGTCACAGGTGATTACTGAATTCCCTTTAATCTGTTCTCCAATACGCAGAAATTGAAAAGTACCAAATTATAAGTAGTAGCTAAATGTGTAATAAACAACCAAGTGTAATTTGCAATAGGTTAACTACCCACTACCTCTTGTTAAATGCCTCATCAATTCAATTAGAGCTAGACTGTCTCTTCCTGATTCAGGTCACCATTCTGATTCATGTGTAGCATCCTAACTGACATACAGAACATTTTACATGGGAGAAATTCACAAGAGCAGAGCAACAAGTAATTTGAAGTTTTTTTATGTATCCAGAGTAGTTATCGGTAATTTAAAAAACCATTTTATTCAATTTCACCCAACTCTTTCTTCAAAACTGAAAATAATAGCAAAATCCAATTTCCTCATCTTCTTTAAAGTATGTTACATTGTTGATAAATGATTACACAGAAAATGGAGATAGTACAAAAATTAAAACATTTGAAAAAATACTGTAAAAATAGTCTGGGTTTTTCTCTACTAAAGGTCATTAGGATTTTTGTCCTCTCACTCTTTCACTAATATAATAGAAAAGGACCATTTAATAGTAAGCACTCCAAAGTAGTTTAGAACTTACTTTCTTTGGGTTGAACTTTTTATGTTAAAAATGTTAAGAAAGCACTTAACTGTCCTGAGCAGTAAAAGGCAATGCATAAACACTAGATTAGCAAACAGGAGAAAAAAAAAATCCTAGGACACTTTACACTTTTTTTTGGAATTCTTTCTAACACTGGCCTTCCACTGAAGTACTAAAATGTTAGAGGCACAGAAAGAGTATTTCAACCCCCACAGTATTATAAACCAGCATTACCTTAATAAAGTTTTTTTAAAGTATATTTCAAAACAAACAAATCACAACTAGTATGACTTAATGTTATTTCTAAATCACTGAAATAGTCTAGATATTAGAGGGCAAAGTAAGTATCTACAATCCCAAAAATAAAATCGGGGACAAAATATAGATGGATGTGGAACACAAATAAAATTACAAAGGACAGTGTTGACACTGTAAAAGTACAAGCTTAATTCTCTCAAAATAGTGTTAGTCTCAATATTTTAATAATTACTTCCTATGTGGGTAAAAAATGTAAGACGACTTTTCTCCAACACGCTGGACAGTTGAGCCCAACTAATTCATTAATTTCCTAAGAAAATAGTCCTGTATCTAACCTTTCATAAATTTAATGAGCTAAAAGCTAAGTGACTTCATTTAGCCACGGGTTACTAAAACAATCACTAGTACCATATTATAACACTACTATTCAATTCTCAAAATTATTATAAAAAATCTTTAACAAAGGAAAAAATATTTCCTACCTCTATTTCAGAAGCCGACATGTACACAGCCAGAGTAACCAAAGACAATACTAATATAATGTAGGGGAAGGCATAATCTGAAAAGCAAACATTGGTGTTATATTGAAAATTACACAAGTTTTCTGAATGAAACAAAAAAATTCAAACAGTAGAATGTCCCACAGTCAAAAACTTTCTCAGTCAGTTCTATGAGAGACTTTAGTTCTAATACCTTAAGGAAGGGCTGGCAAATTTTTCTGTAAAGGGCCAGATAGTCAATTGCTTAAAGGCTTTGTGGCCCATACAGTCTCTGCCTCAGTCACGCAACTCCACAAATGAAGTGAGAATACTAGGCAAACACATAAATGAAATGAGCACATCTATGTTCCAATAAAACTTAAGGGACAATAAAAAGTGAATTTTAGGGGCCTCCCCGGTGGCGCAGCGGTTGAGCGCTGGGTTGCGAAGCTGCCCGCGGCCTCTGCAGCGCTGGTTCGATCCACACCTGCTCCCCGGCCACCGGAGGAGGGTCCCACATGGCGCGCAGACCTCTCCTGCCGCCCGCTGCTCCCCTCAGCAGTGTACTTCGGTCCCTCTGCCTGCTCTGCTCCCCGCTCTGGCTCTGGTGAATTCTCTCACCCTCCTGCGCTTCTGACTGTACCCAGTGCTTGTATGAATAAATAAATAAAATAAATCTTTTTATAAATAAATAGTGAATTTTATATAATTTTCATATGTCAAAAAACACTATTTTCTGATTTTCCCCCAACCATGTGAAAATGTGAACCCATACTTGAACCAGCTTTAATAGACCCCCTGCTTATGACATTCATTGAATATAAAGAATTAACCTTTTTCCTGCAGCTAGAATATTAACCATATACTAAACTTGGGAGAAATTAGAAAAACACTCAAATTTTCTGTATTTTCTGATCCAAATGGGGAAGTTCATTTAAGAAAAGTAATCAGCTTTAATTATAATTTAGGAAAGTTCATACATCATAGGATAAATGGATCATTCAGTGCTCTTAATTACTGGAAATATCTACTTCAAAGAGTATAGTAATGTTTTTTTTTTTTTTTCAAATTCTTATAGATATAGTAGTTCCTTTCTTTTTTTTTTTAAGATTTATTTATTTATTATACAAGCACTGGGTACAGTCAGAAGCACAGGAGGGTGAGAGAATTCACCAGAGTCAGAGCGGAGAGCAGAGCAGGCAGATTGACGAAGTACACTATTGAGGGGAGCAGCAGGCGGCAGGAGAAGTCTGTGCACCATGTGGGACCCTCGCCCGGCGTCCGGGGATCAAACCGGAACTGCAGCGGCTGCAGGCAGCTTCGCAGCCCAGTGCTCAACCGCTGCGCCACTGGGGAGGCCTAAGTATTACAATATTTTAAACAAAAACTTTTTCTTACAGAAAACCCACACCTTTCTCTTAAAATGTTTTACATTCACACAAAATATAAAACTGAGAATATCTCAGACTTCCATACTCCCTTGCTATGAACTCAGTGCTTGTGTTCTCCCATAACTTCATGTTAAAATCATAACCTCCAATGTGATGATATCTGGAGGTGATTAGGTCATGAGGACAAGGTCCACATGAATAGCAGCAAGATCCTAGCAAGCTCTCTCACCTTCTGCTCTGGGAATACCACCTATGAACTAAGCAGGCCCTTGCTAGGCTCCAAATCTGCTGGTGTCTTGTAAACCACCCAGTCTATGGTACTGTTACAGCAGACTGAACTAAGACACCTCTACAAATCAAGAATTTTATTTTTCAGTATCATTAAAGTGTGTTGATATGATGCCCTCTGTGATTAATTTCAGCAGACTGCATAATCTGACATTTCGTGAGGATGAGTAACAACTAATAACTCCTTGATCCTCTATGAATGTGTTCTGAGTGGAGTTATTAACAAAATGATCTAAAGACATTAAGGGTAGAAAGGCATTTTCCGGGCCTCCCTGGTGGCACAAGAGGTTAAGCACAGCACTATGTAGCTCTCAGCAGCCCTCTCCTGTCTCGCCCACTGCTCCTCTCAGCAGTGTATTTCAGTTAGTCTGCCTGTTCTGTTCCCCACCCTGCCTCTGGTGAATCCTCTCCCCCCACACCTTGCACTTCTGGCTTGTATCCCAGTTCTTGTATGCATAAATAAATAAATGTTTAGAGGGGGAAAAAAAGGCATTTTTCAATAAAGGCAGCTACAATATAAGAGGCAGTGCTGTCTGGAAGTCTTCTAGGGATCTTCCAAGTCCTTCCTGGCTTTTCAGTTTTTTTCCCTTTCCTCCATTTTATAACCAAGACGACTGCATATAATAACACTACCTACAGTCCAGACATAAGGATTTTTGAAAGCTGACAATTCTTAATCTTTCCAGCCTAGACAGCCCTCCCTAGTTCTGGACTAGCATAAATACCTGTACTCTTGGATATTCCGTGAATACCTAAAACTGAACTGACCAACTTGTCTGCTGTTTCTAATATTCAGTGGAATCAATCCCGTTAGTAAGTCAGTGAGTTACTTTATCATCTTATTCCTATTGCTTAATCCCTGAAATTTAATTAGTTACCTAGCTTATTAATTAGCTACCTACATCTTCAAGATAGTCCATTTCCAGAGCTTCTCTGCTTTGGGCAGTTAGGCTTGCTTTATTACTATAATAATCTCATAATTGCTGCTCCAGGTTCTCCTCTTCCAGGCCAATCCATCTACTACACTGCTACCAAGTTATGTTCCTAAAACATAAAGCTGATTATGTCACTCTTCTGCCTCAGATCCCTTTCAGTATAGGTCTCTTGCTCCCTAGAGCAAGAACAGCAATGTCAAGCGCTTATAAAAACCAGCCAGGCAAGTAAAAAACTGGTCGACCAAATCCAAGAAAACAGGGGAATGACAGGAGATAGAAAAACTAGATTTTCAAGTACCTTGCAAGACAAATGAAGCAATACACCTAAGATTAAACCAGAACATAAGGAAATAACATACTAGTCTCCAATTACCTTTCCCTTGGCCTTACCCTCAACTTTGCCCTTACATTGAACCAAAGTCATTATCAAGCTACATTACTTGCATGGTGTTGCTGAATTTTGACAGTCTCTTTAGGCCAGAAGGCTTGCCCTTTGCAGCCTGGCAGGCTCCATTTAAAAGATGGTACAAATATCTTTGCATTGTTCAATGGCCCATATTCAAACAAACACCATACATACTATGTTCTCTCAACTATTTATAGCTTATTATATGTGTCTTAACGTCTTTTTAATTCTTTTGTCTTGCAGTTCAACCTAAATGGTTACTGATTAATGGATATATTAAAGAGTATATTGAGGGTTTTTTTAAAAACTGTACCCAAAAAGTTTTCATAAAGGAACTTGGAAATTTAAGGCCTAACTTAATGGGAAACAGTACACATTATCATGAAAAATTTCTATATACTATATGCAAAAACTAGTTTTTGTTTTAAAATTTATGTTTAGGCTTTTAAAATCTTCCTATTTAGATTAAAAGCTGCAAATACAAGGTAGTCTATAAATAGAAATCAGTTCTCATTAGCTTCCACTGATTTCTTGAGAATTCCATTTCATTCCAAGAAAGCTGTAATTCATAAAAATAAGACTAGGGCCTCCCTGGTGGCCTAGGGATTAAGTCTCAGAGCTATTACCACTATGGCCTGAGTTTGATCCCTGGCTAGGAAGCTAACCCACAAATGGTGCGGCAGACCTCTCCTGTCTCACCTGCTGTGCCCCTTAGCAGTGTGTTTCAGTAAATCTGTCTGTTTTGCTCCCCACTTAGTCTCTGGTGAATCCTCTCACCCTCCCTCGCCCCACACACACATCTTTGGCTAACACCCCAGTTCTTCTATGCAAAAAGAAAAGAAAAGAAAAGAAAAAAAAAGACTTTTAGTTAATATATATATACAAGGGCTTACTTTCAAGGATTGAAAAACTATTTATTTATTTTAAAGATTTATTTATTTTTTTATACAAGCACTGGGTATAGTCAGAAGCACGGGAGAGAATTCACCAGGGTCAGAGCGGGGAGCACAGCAGGCAGACTGACGAAGTACACTGCTGAGGGGAGCAGCGGGCAGCAGGAGAGGTCTGCGCGCCATGTGGGACCCTCACCCGGTGGCCGGGGATCGAACCGGCTCTGCAGAGGCTGCGGGCAACTTCGCAACCCAGCACTCACCGCTGCACCACCAGGGAGGCCCTGGAAAACTATTTTAAAAAGTTCTAAAATTATACTAAAAAAAAAAAAAATCACAAGTAATATTAACTGTATTTACCCACTTTATCCCATAAACTTACATAAAAGGCCTCCACCAACTGCTTGAAGTATGGTTAAAATTGGGAAGAAGTAAAGTGCAGCATAAACACTTTTAAATCGATCAGACTTCCCTAACCCACAGGCAATCTTCTTTACCAGAAGAGGTCGGAGCAGCATCATTAATACCAAGCAGAATGCATAATAGATAAATACAATGGTGTACCTATAAGAAATTAGAACATAAAAAATGTGCTTTAAAATAACTATCATCGATCATCTTTAAATCAAAGGTACTAAAAGATCTAAAAAGTATATTAGGTTTATTGAGTACTCAGACTAGTAGAGGGTTGGTCAAGACTCTCACACACTAACAGGAAGGACATGCTGGTTCTTTTCCAGGAGGAAGTTTGGAAATGGGTATCAAAATTCCTAAAAATGTTCATGCCCTTTGATCAGCAAGTTTAGTTGCTGAAATTTATCAAAGCAAACCAATCTGGGATACACAATAAACTTTATGCACAAGGACTATGGTGATCACATAATAAAACAGAAGTCTAAACAAACACTTACAGTGGGTAGACAGCTTCATGAGTACAGTGCACTGTGGTGATGTAATCTGGACTTGGGTTGTAAAGCATTGTGTACCAATCAGAAAGCATCAGTACGCGACATGAATGGATATAGAGAACACCAACTGGAACACTCACAAGTAAGGTGATAATAGCTGCCATACTGCATTCAAATAATGCTGTGATGTGCTGGAAAAGTGCACTGGAACTAGCAAAACAAAGGAAGCATAATTACCACAGATTTCAATAAATGGCTTTAAATAAAACCTGTATGCTTCAAGGTACAAATTCTAAAAAGGAATTTTACTGAAACTAAAAAAATCTTCTAAACTGGCAAAAGTCAAATAGATATGAAGACAGAGAAGACTTCAACCTAGTTTACTAGAAAAGGACACTCATCCCAAGTAACACTGGCACTTCTGCCAGGTAGTTTCAGAGATAACTGGTCTGCCTTTAGGTTCTCAGTTTCCTTCTGTGGTCCTTTTATCTCTCCCTGACACAACAGACCGTGACAATAGTTCTGGATAGTTCATGCATTCTTCTACCTCTTCAGTGGTACTGGTTTCAGTGTGACCTTTCCAATTCCCCATAAACTTTACAGTTACTTTGCCAAGTACCACAATATAAATCCACCACAGATTAGTTACTTTGGTGTTAGTTACCCCACACTATTTATGATGCTAGAAATGGAATACAGGAAGGTAAATGAGTATGTATACTGATCTCACAGTCACCCTCTTTACTAAGCTCTTTTATTATTTCTAATGTCTAGTCTTCAAAGTTTCTGGGTTCTTAAGCAATGTTTCAGTCATCTATCACTGCACAGCAAACTATACCAAAACTTAGCAGCTTGACTATTTCTATTTTGTGGTTTGATGGGGCTCCTCTACTGAGTCTGTCCTGCACCCTAGTTGTTGATTTGGGAGGCACTTATCCAGGCACTGCAGTATTCAACAGGACTAAGGCACTCAGCTGTGAGCACAACGTGAGACTATTGACCGGAGCACCATGTGGCTTCTGTGTTGTCTTTGGTGTTCCACAGTTTAATTGTAATGAGTGTAAGTGGCAATCTCTTTTAATTTATTCTGCTTGGAATGTGTTTTACTTTGCAAAAGAACAATCTGGTACATCTGTTTATCGTACTTCTGTAAAACCTGAAGCCAGCATTTCTTTAAATACTGGCTCTCCTTCACTTTGTCTATTTTTTCCCCAGAGACTCTGGTTAAATACTTTGGGCAAAGAGCTAACAAAATATTTCCCTGTATGTGAGAATGTAACCTTTGGTTAACTCTCTAGTTCTGCTCCTCTGGAAGCCTGACAAAGGTAGAATGTCAACTTTATTGCTAGCTAACATTGCTTGTGATACAAATAATCCCTTAATTGGTAAATTGCAGGTAGACTGGCAGGAATTATAAATTAACTGTAAATACCTGATGGGAAAGCCATGGATTGGCTTTTCTTTCAGTGATTCTTGTAACTGGCCTGTCCCTTGCAGGAACCTGGAAGCGATTCCCACGCGGTAGAACCTGATTCCTTTTGTATAAGACTTTGGCCTGGATGACTCCCACACTTACTCAGTGTGGATCTCATGTCCTTGTGCCTGAGCTGATGTGCTTCAATAGCTACTGCTGACAAGGAAAGTTTTATGCTGCCCTGCTGGCAAGCTGTGTTCCTGAGTAGACTGGTGCTTAGGCTATAGAGCCTGAACATTTCATTGAATCTGGGGAGGACTCCCTGTAGATATTACAGAAACATATTGCAACTTCTCATGCCATGTTTCCTGTCTCACAACATATTTCATATTTCCCATCTTCTTTTCTCTCAGTGTTCCACTGTTATTTCTTTACATTTTTTTTTCTACTCATGAATTCTGTTTTCAGTTGTTTATCTGATGCCTTTTTTTTTATTTTAGCAAGTATGAATTTTCACTTCTAGGAAGTTCCTTTTTTCCTGATCACATCTGTTACTCATTCCTATTAATCTCTTACTGAGTGGAGATCTTGTGAGTGCATCCTTTATATCTTTAAAATTTATATAAGTAGCAGTTATGTATTCTACAACTGAACACCCATTATCTTTGGTCCTTTAGGAACATATATACACTGTTGTATAATTATTGTTTTTATCAACTCTCAGTCATCATGCTTATTTTTATTTGGTAATCAAGGATTATGAGCTCTTTAATAGATCATAATGTGCAAGTGTCTTGTGAGTCAACTTGAGAATAGGAAAGCTTTTCATCGATGAGAATTTGCTTCTTTCACCAACACTCATCAACCACCATTTCCCTGGTCTTCCACAGCAATCTGAGGTAGTGTTCAGCGCTGGGTGCCCAAGATTCAGAATCCAGACTGCAACGCTGCTACTAGCAACTAATCTCCAAGCAACTCTCCATCCCTAATGCCTGCTTTGTTACTCAGGCCTAGAGTGAAGGTGGAGTTGTTTGTTTTCTGAAAGAGAAGAAATCTAGATCTCCACTACCTCCAGAGAAAGTAGCAATATCTTAATTAGTGTGTCTTTTTCAGCAATATCTTAACATCTTTTTCAGATGTTGTTTCCTACAGGAGGATGACTTAGAAGGACAAATTAGTCCATGTTGTTTGAAGCAGAACTCCTGTATCATTTTATACAGATGGAAACACTGAATACATAAACATACATTCATATTATGTAATCTGATCTTTTGCCTCCTTTTAGAATTTGTATTTTGTAGATACAAAATGCCAACCTCATCATTTCTTGCCATTACTTTATTAAAACATATGTCACCTATCAGGTAAACTGCCTCTTCAGATACAGCTGAGGTTATCACCACGTTTTATGAATATTCCCTCAGACTCTCGCAGCCCTCACTCTCTCTATAGCCTAGCCTCATTTAATCCCTATTACCTCAGCCCTCATTTGTTGATTATACTATGCAATTTTCTGTCTTATACTTCTGCACATCTTATTCCTGATGTTTGACACTTTTTTAATTCTATCAAAAACTACTCATTTTTCAAAGTCCAACTTAGTTTTTTCTTCTGTGAGAAGGTAAAATTACTTTCTTCATGCCGTATTAAAACTGTGTAAGTTTCTATTTTTATTTGGTAATCATGGATTATTATGAGGTCCTTGCCTCATGCCTCTACTATAGAACCTTACACATAGTGTGAGGATTTGTCTATCTCATCCATCAGACTGTAAGCAGCCATATTTCAGTTCTCTCTGAATTACAGCACCTGGCACACTGCAAATATCCCTAAAGATGACTAAGTAAATATATTGAAAAGCTATCAATTACATAAAAGTAAATTACATGCAAAGTAAAGCCTCTGACCATATTGCACAAAACTATGCAATTTCTATCTGTTTCTGACCTGGCTTTAAAGAAAAACAAATTTAACAATAAGCTCTAGGGAAAGCAAGGGAACGAAATGAAATGAAAGTGAAATGAAAGTCATGACTAATATTAGTCTACCCCATACAATACTGGGTGATATCATGCCGAGGGAGACAGCATTGATTCTGTATATGTATCTGTATATATACAGAGTTGGGTCTGCATATACATCTATCAGTAGGTGTAAGTTAAGCTAAAATCTGAAGGACAAACAGCAGCTAGGTAAAAAGTTCCACTCAGAGAAGAGAGGATTTAAGGTAGAGAAAAGAGTTTAGTGAAAGGACCTGACGCAAGAAATATTCTGAGTTAAAGAGGCCCTGTGAGACAGTATGATGACTGCATGTATAAAGGTAGAATGTGGCTCCTTGTTTCCCAAAGAATAAAGTTCACATCCTTACGAAGGACCGTCATATTCTGGCCTCAGTCTACCTTTCCCGCACTCCTTTTGTTACCTTTCATTTATATGCAATCCATACCTGGACCACCCAGACTACTTCCATTCCCACTCAACAGACAACTCTCACCTGCATGCTGTTCTCTTTTGCCTAAAATTTTTTTTGTTTAAAAAGTCTCTTGGATCCCAACCAGCACAACTGATCTGTTTCATTCTTTGTAATCCCCGAGCACTGTGTTTATAACACTTCTATACACGTAATGTTTATATACGTTTAAGACTGACTTATATTGTAATTAGTTGTGTATACATTTGTCATCTCTGCAAGATTATGACTATAAACCACATTGGTTATTTTTTTATGTCCTACCCTGAAGCATGCGCTACCATTAAGTTTTCTTGTCACACTCAAAATAAAAAGCAAAAATAAATTAACTACTTTTAACACAATAGAAGAAGTATACTTGTTGATAAGTTCTTCTCAAAGATAATTACGTCACCAACAGTCCAGCGAGACCGTTGGACAGTCCAGTCATAGAAAATGCTAACCTCTTTTTCCCCGAGTACCATTCAATGAAGAACCAATGTAAAACAAGAGGAAGCATAGCCATAAATCCGAGATAGAGCCAATCATAAAGTTCTGGATACTGTGTGCAAGGCTGACAATATTTCTGTGCATTTGTTCTCTGTCCTCTTGGACACACCTAAATATAAAATAAACAGTATTTCTATTGCTTATGTACACACATTATTTGAGAACATTAACACCTCCCAATTACTCTATAAGACACCAGTTCAAATGTCTGTGTTTTTTTTTTTTTTTTTTTTTATAGAGGCATGCTTTATTTATTTGTTTGCTGGTTTGTTTGTTTGTTTTGTTTATACATGCACTGGGTACAGTCAGAAGTGCGGGAGGGAGGGTGAGAGAATTCACCAGAGCCAGAGCGGGGAGCAGAGCAGGCAGAAGGACCGAAGTACACTGCTGAGGGGAGCAGCGGGCGGCAGGCAGGAGAGGTCTGCGCGCCATGTGGGACCCTCCTCCGGTGGCCGGGGAGCAGCCGGGGATTGAACTGGCGCCAGAGACTACAGGCAGCTTCGCAACCCAGTGCTCAACCGCTGCGCCACCGGGGAGGCCCTCAAATGTCTGTTTACAGGTGCATCTTTTAGAAATAAAAAAGAAAACCTAAGTAAAACAAAAAGAAACCTACAACAAATTTTTCTATAACTGAATAATGCTCTTAAAGAATTCCTTTTACTAAACTACTGAAATAATTAACATTAAATGAAACCTACTTATTAACACTGCATAAAAATAACTGCAGAGAAATGTTCAGGAGTTATAATGTCAATTTACTTGGATGTCCAAGTCATTGTAATATAGCAATAAAAACTAATTATGAAATTGTAAAATGTTTTTAAAAAATAACAATCAAAAAAAGAATTACAATCAATACAACAAACAGTTTATTAATGCCTCCTTATTTTTTATAAATTAATGACATTGAGGAAAAAAGTATTACACATGTGAAACAATCTCAAAAGCAAAAAGATTTTGCAAATGAAATAACAAACATAAAGACTTACCCCACACTTTCCATATATTTCAGTTGAGCCATTTTTAGATAACAGGGTCTTCCCACAATAAAGTCCAAGGCATGCTGGCTGAATATCTACCGCTTTTTAAAAACAAATGTCAGTATAGTCACATCTTTTAAGGTAATAAGAAATGCAACAGCTGAAGCACTAGCATAAACATTTTAACACAGTTCAATGAAAAAAAGTTACATATTAGACAAAAGGCTTGATGCCTTTATTTTAAATTTTAAGTTTCTCCTTTTATACTGTGACAGCGCAGATTTACACTGGACTCTTGTTAATATGCTTCCTATGATTAAGATCCTCAACCAGCAGAGCGGAACTAGCCCCAGAACTCAGCCTATCCTGGTAGACACCAAAGGCTCTGGCTAGTCACTCTTGATATGGTAACCTCAACCTCTGAATTTCCATTTTCTAAAATTAGAAGACTAATAGAGAATGGCCACCTTTTATTTTGCCCAATCAGGACAGTACGTGAATACACGCACACAATCTATTATCACTTACAATCTATTACCACTTTCATTTGTAACAGAATATATTATAATGCCAGAAAAGCAGAAAGGACATAATTTTTAAAGGGGCAGTTTTTAACTTTAAATAAGTTCACCCCTATGAAAAGCTTGCCACATTTCATGAAGCTGTCACCGCTGTGACCAGTAATTAGGGAACGCTCTCTTAGAATCAACCCCCTAATCTCAAAGCTTGGGGAAAATTAAATGCAGCTGTTCTTTACCATGACTGCCTTTAACTTCATCAACAAAACAAGTCATTAAAGGAGCTTTTTTTGTTTTGTTTTGTTTTCAGTGGCATCTAGTTGATCGATTCATTCAAAAAACATACTGAAGCTAAGCTTTGGAAACAGCCCAAATGCCCAAAAATAGATGAATGGATCAAGAAGATGTGGTACATATATACCATGGAATATTACTCAGCATTCAAAAAAGATAAACACATGCAATTTGCAGCAACATGGATGGCGCTGGAAGGGATCATGCACAGCGAAATAAGCCAAAAAGAAAAAGAAAAATACCGGATGGTCTCACTCATAGCAGGAATCTAGAAAACTTAAATAAGGGACCAGGAAAATGAATAACTATAAGAAAGTGAAAATCAAAATCAACAAAAACTATGAACCAGAGACACTTTTTGGGGGGTGGGGGCTGGGAGGGGAGGGATTGGGGTCAGAATGGGGGGGTTTGCAATTGTATGGGGGAATATAAAAATAAAATTTATTATTTAAAAAAAAAAAAACAAAAAAAACATACTGAGCATTGGATTCCACTGGTTAGGAACCGCTATAGGGCAATCATTTCCCAAATTCTTCATGATTCACAATCTAGATCGCCTGGCCCACAATGCCCTTTCACTTTTCAGTGAGCAGATATTTTTTATTTCTTTCCCTTTGTGCTGCTGGGGAAAGAAATAGCCCAGTCTCAAATATGCTCCCTCTACCTGATTTCTGGCCTATTTGTAAATCCATGGGCGTCTTTCCTTAATGTGGCGCTCACTTAAACCAGCTGTATTCACAGTGTACTACCTCAGTAAGTGAAAAAGAATTGTTTCAGATTTTTCTGAGAAGGCAGAAGTTAAAAGAATTGAGAGCTACCCCACGGGCTCTGCATCCAGCAGAGGCTTAATAAGAACACAGGCGAATGCAAGTGAAGTTTCTCAAAACCCAAGGCCTGAAAACCACTGTGGGGAACGGAAGGCAAAAGCCAAGTAACCCTAACAACAGCCTGACCCCCAGTCACTCTCCCTCTCACCGCCTCCGGTGCCCGCGAGCCCCGGTCGCAAGCGCGCTCTGGGGCGGGGCCTCGCCCGCCCGCGGGCCCCGCACCCCGGGAGGCCGGCGCCCCCGACCGCAGGTGGGCCGCGACGAGCCCCCGCGTCCCGACCGGCTTTCCGCGCTTCCCAACGCGCACGTCCAGCAAAGCCGCGGAGGCGACATCTGGAAGACGACAAAGGCCTCCCCGTTCCCGGGGCGCACGAGCGCGCCCCCCGCAGGGCGTCCGGAGCCGGGACCCCCGCCGCGCCCCGCCCGACGGTAAGCGGGGCAGGGCCCAGGACGCGGCGCTAGCCGCAGGGCCGAGCCCGGAGCCCGCAGCGTGGGGCGGAGGCGGAGGCAGGGACCGAGACCAGCGCCGCCCGGGGTCCCGGCGACACTCACCCATCGGCCGCGGCAGGCGCGCCCGGAGGCGCTCGGGCTCGGGCTCGGCTCCGGCCGACGCCGCCTCCGCGCCCGGACATCCGGGCCCCCGCCGCGCCGGCGGCCCCGCCTCCTGGTAACCCGGCAACCGCCAGAAACCCCGCCCCCGAGCTTCCCGGTGACGCCTCCGAAGCGCCGCCCGCCCCGGTGCCGCGCGTCCCGCCTCCCGCGCGCGGCGCGTGTGTGGGCGCCGGGACGGAAGCTCGCCCGGGGCCGGGAGGCCGCGTTCCCGCGCGCAGACGATGGAGGCCGCGCTGGCTGTTCCCCGGCTGCCGCCGCACGACCCGGGGACGCCCGCGCTGTCGGTGGTGGACATGCACACGGGCGGCGAGCCCCTGCGCATCGTGCTGGCGGGGTGTCCGCAGGTGGCCGGCCCCACGCTGCTGGCCAAGCGGCGCTACATGCGCCAGCACCTTGACCACGTGCGGCGACGGCTCATGTTCGAGCCCCGCGGGCACCGGGACATGTACGGGGCCGTGCTGGTGTCCAGCGAGCTGCCCGAAGCGCACCTGGGCGTCCTGTTCCTGCACAACGAGGGCTACAGCTCCATGTGCGGTCACGCCGTGCTGGCGCTGGGCCGCTTCGCGCTGGACTTCGGGCTGGTGCCCGCGCCCCCGCCCGGCGCTCGGGAGACCCGCGTCAACATCCACTGCCCGTGCGGGCTGGTGGCCGCCTTCGTGGAGTGCGAGGGCGGCCGCAGTCGCGGCCCGGTGCGTTTCCACAGCGTCCCGGCTTTCGCGCTGGTCACAGGTAACGCGGACCCTCCCCGCCCCGGCGGGGCCTCAGACCGGGACTCAACTAACTGCACTGCTGGTCTCGGGGCTGGAATCCGTACACCGCAATAACTCGCCCCCCCAAAGCTTTTGCAATTAATGAAAAGGTAATTCTGAATCACTGCAACTACCAGCATCTTATTAACTTGAGAATTTGTGCGGTGCATGCAATTCGATTATCCTGCTGCTCTGCCCACCTGTGGTCTTGAGGCAAACCAGGAATACAGATGCGGGTTTCCTTTCCTCAGCGCCCTGTTCCCCCCTCATCCAGCATTCCTAGAGATTTCACAGTTGGGCAGAGCAAGGTCCGCTAAGGTCAAGCATGATGTTGCACCATCATCAAAAATGTTGTTTTGATTCGCTTTTGCTGTTAATTTCCACAGGCACTTTTTACTCTTGATTACAAGCTTGCTCGGTTTTGACACTTCACATGTTACTAGGGCTCTGTAGGTTAGCCACTAACGGACAGGATATTGGTGGGTACCTTTGTATGACTGTGTGTATACTAGGGATACAAGTAATATTTTATTTCACACAGCTTAATTTCTGAATTGGAGACCCCACTATGCCCTGTTTGTTGATTTAGCCTCACCCCTCACATCTTTCCTGATATATGTGTGAGCAAAGGTTGCATGAAAGTGTCAAGACCTTGGAGAACAGCATCTTTTGGTGCGCAGCTTGCAGTTAACCAGCTAAGCATAGAGCCCCGGCCGTCATCATCCCCCCACCCCCCTTTTCCCCTCCTCACTGCTGCTGCTGCTATGCCCCATATCCTCCCCTGCGGTAGTGTAACTAAGTCAAACCAGGTCTTCTGTAGATAAGACCCTTCCTGTCTCTTCTGTCAGTCTAGACGAAATTTCTCTACTGACCAGGAAAAATATTTCTGCCCTCAGGAAACTCCTTTGCCAACAAATCTTTCGACCTGAGAGTCTAGGTTTCTGTAAAACAAAACCAGAAAGATCTTTCTCCCCTGCCATATGCTTCCCTACCCCACCAGAGGCAGGGAACACTGACCCAGCTTGAATTGGGAAGGAGGAAGAGAGTTTGAAGATGCAAGAAGGGGTAAAGTAGCTTTAAAATTCAGTACTTAATCCTTTGGAAAGAGTCTCAAGATTTCAAACAGATGACCTTCAGGTGAAATTTTGGGTATGTTGGGGACTTAAAATATCCAAATAAAAGCCCTGATACAAAATAATACTACAGAGGTCAGTGCTTCTACAATGAATTTGTTCTGGGTTTTTTCCTACAAAACACTCTCATTAGATGAAAATATATTGATAATTAAGTGTGTATATCTCATATAGGAAAATAACTTTTTTCATTTTGTTTTGACATTATAGCTAGAGAAAACCATTTGTGAACAGGATCCAAAATTCTCACTACTACCCCTTAGTAGTAAAAGAAGGAACCTACATTTGCCTTCACAGTTTTCACACTTTGATATCCCAGGGTTCTCTCTCTCTCTGCCTTTATGATTTTTCCTTGATAATATTCTCAGAGCAGTTAACAAATATGCATGTATGATTTAGGCAAAACGTGACATATAACTTGTGCAAACATCAAGGTAAAAATAGAGAGACGCACTCAGCTAAAGACTTACTCATTTGGGGGATGGGCTTTTGTTTCATTCCCTTTTTATGACAGGATTCAGAAGCTCCCAGCCCTGAAATACACAGAAACAACTGCTGTGAATTTTATTGCTTAAATGCTAAAAACACTCATCTTCAAATCTTTTTTAGATCTCCTGGTGGACGTTCCCAGCTATGGAAAAGTGGTAGTGGACATTGCATATGGTGGTGCATTTTATGCCTTTCTTAGTGCTGAAAAGTTAGGACTGGATGTTTGTTCTGCAAAGACAAGGGACCTTGTGGATGCAGCAAGTGCAGTAACAGAAGCAGTGAAAACTCAGGTCAGTGCAAAAACTGCTGTCCTAACAAACACCCTCCCTCTGTGGCATGGAGGGATATAAATTATAGGCCTATCAGAAAAGTAAATTTCTATATATTTAAATAATTAGTAATACTAAGGATAAGTTAGTGATTTAAATCTTAGGTGCTAAGAGCAAGACCACCTGGGAGTTCTAGCTTTGTAACTTTTATAGCTTTAAATGTATTATAAAACTTCCGTGTGCCTCAGTTTTCCTATCTGGAAGATGGAAATTTTCACAGGGTGCTATAAGTCAATACATACTAAAAACTTGTAGTACTTATCCATAATAAATGTTCAATAAATGATAACTGTTGTTAACTTTGTTAATACAGATATGTAATATAGTTTATGGTTACTTTAATATACAGTAAGTGTATCATAGTATTCCACTAATTTGAAATGCATGTGCTTTGCTAAATGTGGTTATTTGGCAAAAGTTGAAAATAATGAATGTAAAATGCAGTTCACAAAATAAATTTCATAAAATCTGATCAGACTATCTTATTTCACACAGAACGTAACTCTTAATTAGTTAATATTTTCTATATTGCTTAGAGGTTACTTAAGGTAACCTACTTAGAGGTTACTTAACCCTAGTTCTTACTTGGGAAAACTATGTGATAGAATCAGTTTAAGTAATACTTTTAGAATATTCTTTCACTCTAAAACAGCTATCATTTTACTTTGAAATTGGGACCTATAATAAAACTCATATGCACTATTTGCATATTCTAGCCTATGAGAATTTATTATCCTATCCTAAATAAAATATAACTTGTAATAGTGAATGATAAAGTTTATTAATAATTACCTATAGGCCCATTTAACACACTGAGACTTTAACATAATTTATAACTTAAATAACAAAATAATATATTCTATACTCTTGTTCTACAATATAATTTTTCTAGGACTGTTGATACCAATGTACAGAATTATTTTATCATGTTAACTTCAGAAGCTCTGAATTACCATCAATTTTATGTTCCATTAAGCAGACAGCTAGTAGAGCTAGCAATCTGGCATAAAATAATTTCACTTTATTTTTAATGAAATCAAGAAGGAAAGGCATCATTTTCTGAATGAAAGGAATAATTTTGACCTTCTCATTATATTTTGAGCTTTTTATCAAGGTGACAAAGGGTGGATTTTGAGGAAAGAAGGACTCTAAGACAAAATGATCAATAAGGCAACAAAACTACCTTGTGAATTGCTGGTATTTTACACTATTGATGCAGATTTAGGGGAAGGCCATTTGGGGAGGATTGAATATAAATTCATCTTCATTAATTATTCCTTTAGCAAAAATTTACCAAGAATTCATTAGAACAAACCCTACCTTAAAGGAGCTGAGTCTAGTCGGAGAGGCATAACTGTAAAGTGTTTTGTTGTAATGTGCTATGGTGGTGTGTTGTAATGATGGAGTGTGGCATATGGGCATTAAGAGGACAGAGAACAAAGATCTAAGACCCAGGCCTCTTTAACTTGGCTGCAGATGGACTCTTAGGACTTAAGGAACCCAAATCTACTCAATAGCTAAAATGACATGTAGTCGTAATGGAATGTACCAATTGTACGGATATATGAGGAAGTGTGATTACAGTAATCTCAGTCTTTACAAAAATCCAGGAAGAGTTACACTAGGCCTACCAAGAAGAGGAAGAAGCTTTGTGCATTGGGGCCTGGTCATGCTTTAACCTTGACTTGCCTTTAACCTGACAGTGCCTGTTTCTCTGTCAGCAATAGTTTGAAATGGTCAGCAGTTCACAAAGTACTTCTATTGCCTGAATCATCATTTTTCTCAGAGTCTTTCCTCTCAAAGTCCATCCTTGTGTATGGACTTTGTGTATGGACTTGTGTATCTGCTGCTTTTCATGTTACTAGCTGACTTCATCCTTTACAATATTTTTTTTATCCTAGTTCTTTATCTTACCTAATAACTTCTGCATTATAACTTTTGCTTTTCATGGCTTCTCCTAAGTGTCTCTATCAATGGTATTAACTTCAGCTCAAGATACTCATTACCAGATTTCCCCCCATTATTACTTCATGCTCCCAACAGTGGGAATATGATTGTCTTAACTCCTCCTCTTTGAGCCGCCATAGCCAGCCTGTGGATTGCCCTTCCTGGGGTCAGTGCTTCACAGAATGTGTGTGTTTCCATGTGTGTGTGTACAAAATGGCGCTCTTCCTTCGTAGAGATTATGTGCAGAGCAAATGCCTTTGATGTTATTTTTTTTTTTAAGATTTATTTATTTATACAAGCACTGGGGTAGAGTCAGAAGCGTGGGAGGGTGAGAGAATTCACCAGAGCCAGAGGAAAGCAGAGCAGGCAGACTGACGAAGTGCGCTGCTGAGGGGAGCAGCAGGCGGCAGGAGAGGTCTGCGCGCCATGTGGGACCCTTACCCGGTGGCCAGGGGATTGAACCGGCGCTGCAGACTGAGGCTGCGGGCGGCTTCGAAACCCAGCACTCAACTGCTGCGCCACCAGGGAGGCCCAGCAACTGCCTTTGAAAGGCGGGATAGAAGAAGAATCTTAACTTTTCCACGACACTGTTTACTCCTGTAGACAAAGACATATAGTATTTAGTGCTTTGATCCAAAGACTTAATAAAGATGGAAAAGTTACATCTATGAATACCCCATCTACATCATTTATGAAAATAAATGAAAGTATTTGAATCAAAGTATTTATTTTACATGTGGTTGATTTTTTTTTTTGTAATTTACAGTTTAAAATCCATCATCCTGATAGCGAAGATCTTGCCTTTTTATATGGAACTATATTAACAGATGGAAAAGATGCTTATAGTGAGGAACCAACCACCAATATTTGTGTTTTTGCAGATGAACAGGTATTATGTTTGTAATGTTTGCCACAACAGCCAGCCATTATGAACCTAGAGCACTGTGAACACTCTTCATTTATTCTGAGACAGGTGGATAGAAGCCCTACCGGCTCAGGTGTGACAGCCCGAATTGCCTTACAGTATCACAAAGGCCTTCTGGAACTGAACCAGGCCAGAGCCTTTAAAAGCAGTGCAACTGGCTCAGTATTCACAGGAAAGGCTGTGAGGGTGAGTGGTGCCTTTAGCTTATTTGTAAATGTGTTACTTTTGAGGCCAAAGCAGTCTGAGGTGGGTATTAAACAAGGTACTTCACTTGGCTCTTAAAAGTGAATTTAAAGCCGGCCTGTAAAAATCTTCTATCCAGCTGGGATGTTGGTTCTTAAAATGTGGTTTTGGAACCCCAAGAGCCTTTTCATGGCCCCGGTAAGTTCAAAGCTATATTCATAAGCATAGCAAAGCATTACTTCGTTTATGCATTATAGAGTTCTCTAGAGGCTACAAGCTTTCTTATTTCAAATGAACTGATGAACAAGTATATTTAATTCCCAGTACAACAAATATTAATAGATATAATCTACATAAGCAAAAAACTCTTTGAGGCCCTCAAATCTTAAGATATAAATGGCTCCTGATACAAAAATGTTTGGAAACCACTAAATTAGGATATAGAGTTTTTTGTTTCTATTCTATAGGAATGTCTCATGTTATATAATAAAATGAAAGTCCTAAAAAGTTGTAGAGAGTAGAATTTCTGCAATGCAATCAACTTTTAAATGTGGTAATAGAGCTAATAGATGAATCTACATGGGAAATGAAAAGTGAGATCTACTAAATGAAATCTATTATGGGATGACATTTAGTAAATGAATCTATTCACTGAGTCCTTAACATAGCAAACAATCTATCCTAATACAGATTTCTTTTTTCTTTTTCTTTTTAAACATTCATTCATCCATGCACACAAGAACTGGGGTATAGGCCAGAGGTGCAGGGGGTGAGAGGATTCACCAGAGACAGAGCGGGGAACAGAACAGCCAGACCAACTGAAATACACTGCTGAGGGGAGCAGCAGGCAAGCCAGTAGAGGTCTGCTGTGTCATGTGGGCATCCTCCCTGGCTGGGATTGAACTCATGCTTCAGTGGCTGCGGATAGCTCCATAGGCCTCGCCCCAACCCCCCGCACCACCAGGGAGCCCCCCAAATACAGATTTCTATATCCTAGTGAACTCTTTATAAAGTTGGTTTTTGAGTATTCAGTTTTCTTTTAAGTTAGGGGAGTCTTCTATAAGATAGTATTCTTTCGAAATACCAAATCATTTATATTGTCTTCAAGTCTGAGATTAAATATAAAATAATCTACAACATTTATTAATTCACTAGTGTCAATTTTCAAACTAAATATTTAATACATACCATCTGTTAATGTTCACAAGAACCCTGGGAAGTCAGAACTATGACCCTGCTTTTCACAGATGGCAATATGTACGGAGAATGAAAGAGGCTAGGAAGTTTGCCAGAGATCAAACATGAGTAACAGAGATGGGATCTGCATGTGGGTCTCTCCAAGCAGACGCTACACTGTTAAGCACTAATTTATATTGCTATTGCACAAGTTTCAATGGGGCTTCATATTACTGAAGCTTAATAAAAAAATAATAGAATTTGCTGGAGGACCCTAATCTAGTAATTGATATTTTAATCTTAAGATTTTCTTATTTTAAAAAGTTAGAAAAGGGTATTCTATAGTTAAGATTCACTTCTTTATATTTATTAATTGATGTTGCTGGGACAGCTTCACTTGCACCAGTCTTCCTCTCTGTCTGCGCTCTCCCAGGCTCTCTGATGTACTTTCTCAGTCTCTTTTTCTGCCCCTGCTTCCTGGCCATGTCTTGCCATTTTGGGGTCCCTGGCATTTTATCCTTCCCTTCTTTCTCATCTCATTAGTAATTTGATGCTGCTTGGCAATTTCACCCATTTCTGAGGCTTTTTTTAAAAAAAAATTATGCATACAAGAACTGGGGTGTAAGCCAGAGGTGCAGGGGGTGAGAGGATTCACCAGAGACAGAGTGGGGAACAGAACAGGCAGAATGACTGAAATACACTGCTGAGGGGAGCAGCAGGTGAGACAGGAGAGGTATGCTGCGCCATGTGGGTTGCTCCCTGGCCGGCTGGGGATCGCTGTGTCTAACTGTTGTGCCACCAGGGAGGCTTTCCATTTCTGAGGCTTTGACTCTCAACCATACACTGATCCAAATCTTCATCATACTATGCCTATGCCGTGCCTCTGTCCTGAGTCTAAAACAGGTGCTCCCTACTGTCCTCTATACTCATCTTGAAATGACTGTCCCAGGGATACCTCAAACTCTTATTAAAAAGCCTCTTTTCTTCCTCTTGTCTCATTCTCCATCTTGGTTAATAGTAACAGCAGCTTCCCTTCCAAGCTAGAAAGTATAGTTACATTGAACTTATCCCAATGCCTTGCCTCCCACACTCATCAGTCACCTGGCTTGTCAGTTTTACTTGCAAGTCTCTCTGTATTTTGCTCTTCACCATCCTCACTAAAAACTACCCTTGTGACTCTAGACTCAGTGAGCAGATTCACGTTATCTCTTAACAGGTTTCTGGATTTCTAGTCTCTGTCCATTCCAATTATCTCTCACTTTACAGCTAAAGTTACCTAAAATACGGATTTGATCGTCGTCTTAAAAACTTTCCATTGTCTGGAATACTATTCAGCCATATATATTATTTTATATATATATATATATATATATATATATATATATATATATATATATATAAAGATGAAATCCTGCTATTTGCAAGAGCACAGATGGACCTAGAGGGAACTATCTTAGTGAAATAAGCAGACAGAAAGAAAAATCTTGTATGAAAGACAAACATCACTCATATGTGGTATATAGAGAAAACAAACAGGTGAACTAAATAAAACAAAAATAAACCTTTGGACTATAAGCCCATGTATCAGGGGGAGGGGGTGGGTACATCAGGAAAAAGCAAACAATGGCATGGTGAAAGGCAGTATTGAACATTTAGGGGTGAACAAAATGTAGTATAGACACATGTTGTCCTCAGTTACACACATGTGAAATTTATATAATGACATAATACACTGTTATGTCAATTAATTTTTTTTTAATTTACAACATTTCTGAGCATACAAAAACTAAAGTAATTAGTCACTGTCTGTAGGATGAACCTTTCAGTCTCTTTAAATGATAACAATCAGGGATATGACTTTTAGGCCAGATATAATATGAGTGCAGTGTTTTGATATTATGCTCCTTTTCCCTTTTCTCAGGAAGCAAAATGTGGTGATTTTAAAGCTGTTATAGTGGAAGTATCTGGACAAGCCCACTACACAGGCACAGCAAGTTTTGTGGTAGAAGATGATGATCCACTGAAGGATGGGTTCCTTCTCAAGTGACTCCTCTGACTTACTTATAAGGGCTTTCTTTGTAAAGCAATTATTATCCATAAGTAATTTTTCTCTAAATTATGTGAAAAATTGTATTCCAGTTGTACATGTGAGACAACCTCCATTCTTTCTAAATATCACTAAAAATGACACACTTTCAGAATGTTTTTCTAGTTACTGAAATATCAGGTACAATTAAAACTTCAATTATTACTTTAAAAATATATGATTATGGGGATTACTATTGATATATATTTTAAATGTTCATTGAATAATGGCTTAAATTGTAGCTCTTACAATGACTCTTTCAGATTTATTATTGTATTCTTCCAGCTTTTCAGTAAAATAATGCCCTGTTTTTAAGCAGCAGGCAAGGGAGATGAATTAATCTAAGGTACTTATCATCAAATTTCTCAAGTCACATTATTTTGAAAAAAATATAGTTAAAAGGTTACATTTTATAACATTTTACAATGTGCACTACTTTAATAAAGGGCACCATGAAATGCATGTGATTATTCTACGGTTCTCAAGAGTGGGGAAAATTTTATCACTGGCATTGTTTAGAATTGCTAGTGTGGGGTTATAATAAATAAGCAGACTGACTTTTTGTTGGTTTTATTATTATTTTAAAATTCTCTACAGACAGTACACCCCTTATCAAATGTACCCAGGAAGACCTCCGTCTGCCCTGCCCATGGTGTGCCACTGTTTCTATCCCGTCTTTCTACCTAGCAGGGAAATGCAAGTCAGGCATGTTAAATAATTCTCCTGAGCCACATTAGAGGCTATAAATCTAGGACTTTTAGCTCCAACTTCAGTTTTTTCCTATGTACTTCCTTCAGAGGGGATAGTAGAACTTAGCCTAGTATTTAATCAAAATATTTTATTTCTTGAATGTTAAGAAATAGGTATTTCTTTAATCTTCCTAAATTCTAATCCCTACCAGAGCCAACCCTTACAATAACACTCATTCCTTCTGTACTTCCCCTTGGAGTGAAAAACACTGGAGCCCCTGCTCTTCTTACCTCCAGTGTTTCTAATCAGTCACAAAGCCCTGTTGATTCTGCATTCTAAATATTACATCTATACCTTCCCATCTTGGTAAAGGTCTTGGCTCACCAATTAATCTCTCTCCTTTCCTGGTTCCTTACTCTATGCTCATTAGAAATAAATGACAGACATCTCATTGGCCTGCCTCTGTTAGCTTGCTATCACCCCTATTCCCTTCCCTTTCTACTCATGCTTCTAGAGTCCTGACTCTCTGCTCATTGGGTACATTCTTCTCATCTTCTATTTGCCATTCAACTGTTACAATCTGGTTTCTACCTTCTTGCACATTTGCAACTGTGCTAGATCTAACCGCCAGGTCTAATGGCCATCCCAGGGCTTATGCAATCCATGGTGGACACTGCTGCCTGCTCCTGGCAGGCAGGTGTGATACACTTTAGAACAAGAACCTCTACTCCCTTGGTGCTGAACTCAGTCATAGAGCCACTCACTGAGGCTCCCAAAGCCACTAGGTTAGTACCTAGTCCCTAGTCCTGCCCAGGGCTGCAATCGGACCCAGGTCCATCCCTTTCACAGTAAACTTGCAATGTGTTTTGCTCCAAGTCCTCTAGACTTTATAAGTATTGGGACACCTTCTCTTCAGCCCTCCCAACCCATAAATTCCATGCCATCCCTCCTTAGGATAATGCCTCTCATACTTCAATGTGGGTGTGAACCACATGGGAATCTTAAAATGCAGATTCTCATTAGGCATTGAAGGGGTCACCTCTAACAAGCTCGAGGTGATGGTGATGCTGCAGCCACTGGTGGGAGAACTGCAGTTGAGTAGCAAAACCAGTGTCCTTTAATTACCCTTTTGGGCCCAGACTTTACAGGTAAGTCTCCCTAACCCAGAAACTTCTCCTTTTAGCTCTGAAATACATGAGAAGCCTGCTCTCCCAGGGGTCAAGGATAGAGCTGACCTCAAGATAACAAACATGAGAAGAGGCTGAGGAAATTCCCTTAGCCTCCTTTCCAAAAAGCACAACAAAACAAAAGCATAAGACAGCCGAGTTTTCAATTGGCCAGTGTGCCTCTCATAGATCACTCATTTGCCCTCCCTTTCTCCCTTTACCTGCTTAATTTTTGCTGTTTCCAGCATCTCCTCCATGCTCTCCTCTCATCACTCCACACCTGTTGTCATATTTGTGCCCATGGTTTCTCACTGTAGAGGCTGACAATTCCCAAATCTCTAAATCCTGAGGTCAGAGCCTGCAGGTCCACTAATTAATGCAGATCCACTAATTAATGGACAAACAAAACTCATCTCCTTCACTGACTGTGCCCTCCTTCAGCATTCCCTAACTTGATTGATGCATGGGACCACCATCCACAAAGCTAGGAACATGGAATTTATCCTCGTCTCCTTACAGCCATCCTGTTGATGCTCCTGAGTGAACGTGCGTAGATTTGGCCGGCATCATTCCTTTCCCCTTTATTTCCGCCAACAAAACTCACCTTTTCCTTTGGGAAACTACCCAAATCCTACATGTAGCCTTGCTGGGACTGTCAGGAAAGGGGTACACCAATCAGACACCCTCTTCCAGAATCTGACATCTTGAGAGCAATGACACAAGGCCTGAAAAAATGGTCATAGTAGACTTATTCTGCTAGTGCCCTCAAAAGATTGTCCTCGGTTAGTGTCTCCTACCTCTACCAGCTAACCTGCCTAACTGCTCATTTCTGAGACTTGTTAGAGTACTCTTTTGTAATTTGGATTCCTCCCGTCCAGTGAATTCCTTTTTTGCTTAAGTGAGATAGGGCCCTCACAGTTTGTGTTGCTTATATACAAAGACCTTAATCCATGTACTACCTCTTAAAATCTCTTCTTCGCTGTAAATGCCTTAGTTCTGACTCTTTCCTCTCCCCTGGGCTATTATATTGCCTTTTCTTAACTGTTCACTCCATTTCCAGATTTTCTTCCTACAGTCACTCAAAAAATATTTGGGGTGTGTGTGTGTGTGTGTGTGTGTGTGTGTGTGTGTGTAGCAGTTTTCCAGAGTGCCGAGTGCTAGGGATATAACAAAAGGCACACATGGAAAGCAGGTAACACCTAATCACAAAGACACAGTTATAGACAATAGCAATGCTACAAGTCAAGGCTTCCCTGGAGAGTCTAACACTCATATGGAAATGGGAAGGCGAGGTAAATGGGGAGCATGGGGTGATTGGGAAATGTCCCCAAATGAGGCTAGAGGAAGCAGATGTTAAATCATGCAGTTCCTTTTAGGAAATATTAAGGATTAGGGTCCTTAACATGCAGAAAACCAAAGGAGGGGTTTAAGTAAGTTGATGGCGTGATCAAATATACTTTGTTTGAAAATGCTTTCTGCCTACAGTGCATAATGTGGGCTGGATGTGGGGAGGCCAACGAGGATGTGACAGAAGCAGTCTAAAGAAGTAAGGATGAGAGCTACATTTCAGGTGGTAGATGAAATGATGGAGGAATGGATGGATATAAAGATATTTAACAAGTAAAATCCCCAGGTCTTGGTGATAGATGGGACATGGGCTGATAGTGAGGAATAGGGATTTATCTAGAGAGAATCTTGGTTTTGGCTTGTGAGCTGGGTGGACGGTTATCATTTTCTGAGATACAGAATGTTAAGGATCAAAGTTTTCAGAAAAAGTGGCAAGAAGACAGTGAACTCCACTTTGGTCATGTTGAGTTTGAAGTGCTTTTGCACAGCAAGGAGGGATGCCAAGTAGCAGGATCTGTGGGTTGAGACCAGAGATATAACTTGGAGTTATAAATGTGCAATTTTTAAAGCCCTGCCTGCGAGTGAGATGAGAGGATGTCCAGAGGAGCCAAGTACTAAGCCATGCGAGACTCCAGCATTTAAAGGTAAGTAGAAGAAGGTGAACTAACAGAGGACGCTCAGCCAAACTAGGAGGAAAGCCTGGAGCATGTGAGGTCATTCTTACCTTTCTGAGCCATATCTGGTCATCGCTTGCTCTTGTTGAAACTGCTTCGATGGCTAGTCTTTCCCATGAAGTTCAATCTCCATAACATGGTGTACGAGGCCTTTATAAGAGAGCCCAAATCATCATTTATCCTTTATTCTCCCCTTCACTCACTACCCCTGCCCTTGTATCCTAGGAAACAAATACACCAAAAAATTACCTGGCTCAAGATGCCAATAATGCTGAGGCTGAGAAACCCAGTCTTAGTTCACCACCTTACATGAACTTCCATTTATGTTCTAAGTTTCCAGTAGGCTATTTTATTCACTGAAATAAGAACCAAAGCACTAATATCATTGATTCTAAGACCTGAAAGTGTACTAAACATCTTTTAGAGCAATATTTCTCAAATGGACCCCACCCTTGGAGTTTCAGATTCAGTAGGGCCCAAGACTCTGCATTTCTAACAAGTTTCTAGGTGATACTTACACTCTGGTCTAGGGTCCACGGTTTGTGAACCACTGCTGCAGAGTACCCGAGGGTTTACCACACTTGCCGCCATTCGAGGTCATACACAGAAATTTGACATGCAGCTTCCCTGGGCAGCCAGGACCTTCCCATACCTGGAGCTGAAGCTGTAGTGACTGCTCATTTGGTAGCACCTTAGACTTATGGCACACTGTAGGGTAAATGATTGTCAGGCTTTTCTGCCCACCCACCATTAGGATTGATGATGGAGACCTGCAGTCCTGAATGCATGTCTGATGGCGGGCACCTGGAGTGGGGTGTGGGCATACGTAGGTGGGTACACCTGGGCTAAGCTGGGCCTATAAGGGTGGTGTCACGGGGATGCCAAGAGAACAAGCAGGGAAATGGAACAAGCAAAAGAGAGAACGAGACCACGAGAGAACACTGGAGAGCCTGGAAAGAGTGAAGATTCTACCAGGAGGCTGGTAGGCATGTGTGAGTGCTGCTCACTGCCCTCTGCCCCCCTCCGCCCCTGCACCCCTGCCTGCCGTATACCTGGTAATAATCCCAATAAAAGCCTGAAAAAGCCACTGAGGGGTCCAGGACTCCTCCTTCACCCGTCTGCTTGGATCATAGAGAACCTGCTCTGTGCCCTTCCTGCCGCCACACACACTATCTTCCAGAACGCTGATGAAGCCTGCCAGGAAGGCAGGGAACCAATCCCTCTCCTTTACCCGCCTCACACATGCCTGAGCCACTTGCCCTGAGGTTCAGGTCATTGGAAAGGTGACATCCTGTCTCCAAGACCTGTAACCTAGCTCTCCAAAAGTGAGGTTTACATTCACCATGCCATGCTCAGAAACCCTGGGAGTCACCAGCGCAGCTGCATTTTAATGAGCTCACCACATCACTGGTTCTCAAAGTCTGATCCTCAGACCAGCAACTTCGTCATCACCAGGAACTTGCTAGACATGCAAACTCTCCAACCGCCCCCCCCCCTCACCCCCAGGTGAATCTGAAGCTCTGGGGTTGGGACTAGTCACCTGTTTTGACAAGTCCTCTAGGTGATTCCGTTGCACGCTTAAGTTTGACAACACCTGGTTTAAATTATTCTGCCCCTCAAGCTAAAGATCTCCAGATTTGGGGTTTCACCTCAGTTCCAAGATTCCTTTCCTACCTCACATTGCCACAAACACCCACAGGAAGCAAAGCGTCCCCCACCCCCACGCCCAAGACCTTGCAAGATTTCCACATCCAGAGAGGGCTCGGGTGAACCCTTGCTGAATTTTGTATTTGCAGGTGGGCCGTTCCGCTTACCTGGAGGGACAGCGGTGCCAGAGGCGGTCGGCCTGACCCTCCCTGAAGCGCAGGCCCGGGGCTGGGTGACCCGGGGAAGATGTGCTGTCGTGGACCGGCGTTCTGGAGGGTACCGGGCGGGCGGCCCGCCCCGCGCTCGTGCGTAAACACGCGGTTGCCCCGGCAACGCCTGGAGCCCACGTCCAAGGTTCCGCAGGTCCCCGGCGACGGCCACCCTGGGGCCGAGCCCTCCCCGCGGCCGTGGCCTCTCGCCCCGCGCCGCAGCCGCTGTCTGGCTCGCGGCCGCCGCCGGGTGCGGGATGAGCAGCCCCGCGGCCGCCGCGGGGCCCCATGGAGGAGCAGCCGCCGGGGCGCCCGCCGGGGAGCGCGGCCTGGTGGGGCAGCCCACACCCCGGCGCCCCCTCGGCGGCCGGCGCGCCTGGCGGGACTTTGTCTGCGGCGACGGCGGCGGCCGCGCTGGCTCTCAGCTCCGGGGCGGCCGCGGCGCTGGGGAACCGGAGCGACGCGGGCGGGGGCGCCTCGGCGGGCGGCGCGCGCGGGGCGGCGGGGCCGGCGGGGCCGGCGGGGAGGCCGCTGCTGTGGCCCGGGGCGGCGGAGGCCGCGCAGGCGCTGGTGCTGCTGCTCATCTTCCTGCTGTCTAGCCTGGGCAACTGCGCCGTGCTGGGGGCGATCGCGACGCACCGGCCGCTGCGCACCGTCACCAACGCCTTCCTCCTGTCCCGGTCCCTGTCGGACCTGCTCACGGCGCTGCTCTGCCTGCCCGCCGCCTTCCTGGACCTCCTCACGCCGCCCGCGGGCTCGGCGCCAGCGCCCTGGCGCGGCTTCTGCGCCGCCAGCCGCTTCTTCAGCTCGTGCTTCGGCATCGTGTCCACGCTGAGCGTGGCGCTCGTCTCGCTGGACCGCTACTGCGCCATCGTCCGGCCGCCGCGGGACAAGATCGGCCGCCGCCGCGCGCGGCAGCTGCTGGCCGGCGCCTGGCTCGCGGCCCTGGGCTTCTCCCTGCCCGGGGAGCTGCTCCGCACGCCCCGCGAGCCCGCGGCGCTGCAGAGCTTCCACGGCTGCCTGTACCGCACCTCCCCGGACCCCGCGCAGCTGGGGGCGGCCTACAGCGTGGGGCTGGTGGTGGCCTGCTACCTGCTGCCCTTCCTGCTCATGTGCTTCTGCCACTACCACATCTGCAAGGCCGTGCGCCTGTGCGACGTGCGCGTGCGGCCCGTGACCACCTATGCGCGCGTGCTGCGCTTCTTCAGCGAGGTGCGCACGGCCACCACCGTGCTCGTCATGATCGTCTTCGTCTTCTGCTGCTGGGGGCCCTACTGCTTGCTCGTGCTGCTGGCCGCGGCCCGGCAGGCTCAGGCCACGCAGGCCCCCTCGCTCCTCAACGTGGTGGCTGTTTGGCTGACTTGGGCCAATGGAGCCATCAACCCTGTCATCTACGCCATCCGCAACCCCAACATTTCCATGCTCCTGGGGCGCGGCCGGGAAGAGGGCTACCGGACTAGAAATGTGGACAGTTTGCTACCCAACCAGGGCCTGGGCCTGCAGAACAGAAGCCGCAATCGCCTTCGAAACTGCTATGCCAACAGACTGGGGGCCTGCAGCAGGATGTCCTCTTCCAACCCGGCCCGCGGAGCAGGAGGGGACGTGGCCATGTGGGCTCGGAAAAATCCAGTTGTGCTTTTCTGTCGGGAGGGGCCGCCAGAACCTGTGACAGCAGTGGCCAAACAGGCTGAATCTGAAGCTGGGGATACCAGTCTCTAGGAAGGGTTGGGATGCACAGCCTGTGAAGGCCAATTTTCACCTGCTTTGTTTTGTAATGCCGAATTCTGGGGGAGAATCGTGTATTTCATAAAGACAAACAGTTTAAAATGAGACGGAGGGGGGAGGCTTACCACTTCCTCCAAGCAACATAGAAGGTGAAAGTGCCAAAAGGAATGTAAAATGCAAAAATTAAAGCAATCTTGACCACACAACCAAGCATTGTGAGCTGTAAGTGCCAAAAATGCCAAAAATAAAATTCACAATTACTGAAAAACTCATATTACAGAAATCACTGTGGAAAAAAAAAATTAACGGAATGCAGCCAGTGTTTGTTTAACACATGGAGTTTCCAAAAAAAAAAAAAAAGAGAGACCCTCAAATCGCTTGACTGCCTCTCTAACTCACCAGCATACAAAAAACTTTCTAGAATTTACTCCTCTGACACTTGTTTTGGGTGCTTAGATTGGGAGCAGGAAATTCTTTTATTTTTTAATCCTTGTGCCTCCTTGTCCCTTCTCCTCCCCCTTCCATCTTAACCTCAGAGCCTTGGAAGGTGTTTTATGTCCACCAGTGTTTTTAAGTGTTCTCACATTATCCAATTGTCAGGAGTAGAAAATTCTTATTCATTAGCACTGGTGAAATTTTCCCACCCCGCCAATAATCTGAGAAATTTAAAATTCATATCTCACTTAAAACCATTATAGGATACGAAAGGTGGCTTATTACTAGATAAAATTCAATTGTCTGCAGGGCAAATAGAAACATGAACTAAAGACATGTAACTGTTTTAAAAAATAATGTGCCCCATCCAACTCCGAAAATTATCTGCCCATTCCACCCCCAAAATTATGTGCCTTGACAAAATTTGAAGCTTTACTTTTATGCTAATCTGCTATTTTTATTTCTGATAATTTGGGGGTTGCATCTCTTAAATGTTTTCACATTAAAATAACTTTCATTGTAGAAAATCTTTGACTTTTGGATTCAACCAAAAAATGTAGTTTGAAGTCAAGTTAATTGACTCAGGTAAGTGATAGTATACACACACACACACACACACACACACACACACAATGAGAGTTGAGAAAGTAACAAGATTGGCTTTACTGTATGGCATTTAACTAGCTGAAGATTATTCCAGAGAGAAAGTCTAAAAATGTGTTATTCTAATATGTTCAGAAGTGGCTACATTCTTGGAGTAACACAGAGCTTTCAAAGAAGATCATACTCTCCTATGTTTGGAAATGGGTACACATGTTTTTGAAAAAATGATCCACTACTTTATAGACAAGACTTGTTTAAAATAATGTAATATTTATTAAAAATGGAGAATAGGTGGGGGGTTATTCAGTATAATAGTATATTAACAACTTGAGCATGAAGTCAGAAGGGAAGTTCAGTCAAGTGGAAATGTCTTCAGAAATATGTAAAACAAAGATGCTTTTAAAAATTCAAAAGCACAACTTGGGATTTTTGGAATGTGTGAAATTCTCACATTAAATGTCACTACACACTCAGAATTTTAAAAGGCATTTTTGTGTTTTTTCTCTCTTTCTTTCCTCCATCTTGCCCCTCTTCTCGTCAACATTTTGCATTCTTAATTGAATGTGTTTCAAACTGGATCTGAAACAACATCAGCTATCATATACAAACTTCAATAAGAAACAGCCACGTATTTTTTTCTCCTGCAACATTTTAAAATATTTATTAGTATCTATTTTTTTGTGTGTATATATGACAGATGGGCATATGTCATTATTTTGTAATCAAAGATGGAATATATAATTCATATCAGCTGAAGGGAAGTTTTCCCTTCCTCAAGACATTATCACAATCAGAAGTTTATAAATTACCTGTATATCTCTTGCTCCACTCAGTGCACTACAAAGTAAATGAGATAACCTCTCCTTTTTAGCACTTATAGCTACAGACAACGCAGCGTAACTAACATTTAACAGGTGTCTACATTATTCACTTTTGAAAGTAAAAAAAAAAAGTACATTTTGGGCATTGCAAGAAAATGAAAGTCATGTCTGACATTTAGGGAGAAGCGATAAAAGTCTTGCAATTATGAAAGGTCTATAGAATATGAATTTAGCAACTGAATAAAGGGCAGAAAGAGAAAGCTCTTAGGAAAAGGATGCAAGAATGTTTCAAAACAGGATATTCCCTGAGAAAAAAAATACTGGAGGAAGATATTTAAAAAGAAACATGCTATGGAATAAAACTGCCTGAAGAGTGAAGGGAAAATGAGCGATTGAAGTGACAAAATGGTGGCATTCAGGACTAAGGCAAGGATGAAATTCCTGCCCTAGTTCTTCAGTGGTAGAAAGTTTTAGGAAAGGCATGGCTTGGGGAAGGGACCATTCTGTTAGTGACTGCTGGCAAGAATGGGAAGAAAAGAGAGAACATTACTAATACATTACTGCGTTACTGAACAACTTGCAGCAGTGTGTTTGCTTCTAATTTGAGGCTACACAACTTGTCAGTGATAGAACTGCAATATGTCTGGGCTCAAAGTCCATCTTCTCTACCCTCTGTTGCCCCTACAAAGGGAAACTCCAGATGATAATCGTTACCATCCCCATATCACCATCCCATCATCACCACCTTTACCTTCACCATTACTAGCACCGCCATCAACCTCATCCTCATCATCTTACATTTTTATTTCCTACTTTGTGGGTGCTAAGGCTACTAAAAGGAATCATAACACCTGCTTTAAGGGGGCTTGTGGCCTAATTGAACACCTTGTCCAAAATCAGGACTCTCTACCCGTGGGAAAGAAAAGGTGTAGCATTTTCAAAAATGTTTTTAAAGGAGATGGATTTGGAAGCAAAAGACATGTAGGTAAAGTACAATAAGCAATTTGATCATTATAAATACTTACTTAGGAAAAATAATGCTGTGAATAAAAGACAGAGAAAGAATGATTCTCAAATAAATATAAGACTTAGACCTTTCCTCACGCTTCCTGAGTACATGATCCAGTTGTGTTAAAATTGCATGATGCCTACAGGTCAGAATATAATCATTCACATTTCATTCTGCTTCCAGTTTGAATGTTTCATTTGAATTACAGAAATAGCAACAAGATTTACTCAGCATAGTACAAACATTAGTCGGGTGGGCAGGGGTGGGAGTCTATTGTTATCACTTCCCCCATTTACAAATGGGAAAACTGAGGCATAGAGGCAGTCACTTGCCTAAGGCCACAAAGGAAGTCAGCGCTACAGAGTAAGATTTGTCCTGCACTGTGCTGTCTCTCTAGTTTGTAAGACAATGGGAAACCGGGAAAACAACCATGAAGAATAAAAATAATAAAGGGATGGGAAAATTGATATAATAAAATTTAAAAGAAATGATATGTTTAATTTCGAGAGCAACTACAGTGATATGTGGTTTTAAAATATTTGAAGAGATTCTGAGCAGGTATTTCCTGGTCTAGTCCCAGCCCTAGATGACCCCAACATTTGTCTTCTCCATGCCTGCTCTGGGGCAGCTGCACACAGCTGCAGAAAAGAGAGGGAGCCAGATCAATGAGTGCCCTCTGCCCCTAGAATCCACAGCCCTTCCAGCAGGCCCCGCAATCCTGACGTTGTCAATTCACTCTCTGCTCACTCGCGTGACTTCAAACTTTCTCTACTGAGACTTTTAACTGACCCTTACCTCTTGGTGACCTTTGTTCCTGCTTCACAGAGAACATAGAAACCATCAGGTACATATACCATCATAGTATACACCAAAATGTAATAAATTAAATTGGAATTCTTTGTCAGGAATCTCCTGTTTCAGGAATCGCCTGCTCTCAGTGGTGTCCTTTTCCCTGGTATTCTTAGCTTTTTCCACAGAACCAAATCCCCCCTGTGAGCACTGAGCATGTGCTATGGTCTTTCTTAAAAAAAAAAAAAAAAAAAAACAACCTTCCTTTTCTGTCACCCCATTCTCTCCCTCAGTTTCTTCTCTTCAGCAAAACTTGTCCAAAAAACTGCCTACACTTTTACAACAGAATCCTAGTCCACTCTTTTCATGGTGCAAGAAAATCATTTTTATGCAACTCAGTCTTCCCCCTAATTCCTTATTTTGTCATATGCCAGAAATTTAAAATGGCAGCATCCAGGTTCTGGGGACATATTTATCACCCGGGCACTGGTAAGTAGCAGGCCTCAGGACACATCCATCCTACTGGCATCTGCTCAGGCACCCATCAGCCACACATAAGTCACATCCACAGTGTGGGCAGACAACTGTGGCAATAACTGCAATATCTCATGCTGTTGAAAATTTTTAAAAAATATTTTTGATTGGGCCTCCCTGGTGGCGCAAGGGGGCTAAGCAACGCACTATGAAGCGATCCACAGCCTCAGCAGGACAAGTTCGATCCCCGGCCGGCCTCGGAACAACCCATATGGCGAGCAGACCTCTCCTGTCTTGCCTGCTGCTCCCCTCAGCAGTGTATTTCAGTCAGTCTGTCTGTTCTGCTCCCATTGTGTCTCTGGTGAATCCTCTCACCCCCCGCATCTCTGGCCTGTACCCCAGTTCTTGTATGCATAAATAAATCTTTAAAAAATTATTTTTGATCATTTGAAACTTATTAATGTTGTTGGGACAATAAATCAATGTGGTATCTTAATTATGCTTTGGGAGTTCCACATCCAGAATGGCAGTGGGGAGTTCTGTGGCCCTGCTTCCTAGTAAAACAAGTATAACTGGTGAAAATCACTTTAAAAGAAATCATTGAAGTTTCTGAAAATTATCATAAGAGCATACAGCAAGAAAATCCACCATAACTGAGTCCGGCACTTGAATAGTAACCCATTCCCCTCACTGTTCTTAGCTCAATGTGGGTCAGTGTGACCAAGAACACAGGGCTTCCTCCTCCCCCTGCTCCCGGACAAGGACTGTGCTGTCTGCTCATCTTTCCTGTTCCATGATGCAGAGGCTAAATTCCAGGTACGTGCAGCCAAGCGGTGGGGATTTCTCTTTTTCCACAGAGCCCCCATTCATAGGGCAGATGCTTAACCTCAAATGCACTTGAGGGGCTGGCTGGATTTCTGGGGCCATGATTGCCCTCACCCATTATATTTTTTATATAATAAGTATACATTTACTTTTAAAAATTAATTATAAAAATAAACCATAAAACAACATTTCAAAGAAGAGAGGGTGAAGCACCTCCACTTGTCCTTGGAGGGAGTGAAATTATTTACCTATTTATTGCAATAAGTCCTCAGATTTTTAAGGCCTGTTGACTAGAGGGACTGCCCTTTCTACCTACTAACCTCTGAGTTCCTGGCCTGAGCATGAGCTATGCTCTTTCTTAAAAAGAAAAAATAAAACCAGTTTCCTTTTCTGTCACCCCATTCTCTACCTCAGTTCCCCCTCTTCAGCAAAACTGGTCCAAAAAACTGGTCCAATATAGCAGGACGTGGGTCTACTTAAGAGTTGTGTCTTTAAGTAGTTAAAACAGATCCTGGAAAAAACTCAGTTAAAGTATAAACCAGTTTTTTCTTTTACTTTTAATTTTACCGTTATATCTCCCTCTTGGATTCAGATAACTTTTATATTCAATACCTTATTTTACCCTCTTCACACTTGAGTGAAGGACTAGAGCAACCTTATCATATCCTTGCTCCCCAGGCCCTGATTGTTCATTTTGGTTTGTATTTTGTTTTGTTGTATTATTTTTTTATTGAGATATCACTGGTTTACAAACACTGACTTGGAGGTACAGGTTCACACCGTTGCAGACGTATGTTACCACACCACACCACAACCAAGCACCCACAGTCCACCATAATAGTCCATTGAGCCCCTGCCCTCTTTGTTCCTCCCCCAGCCCCCTCTGATCTGACCCTTTCTCCTTCAGTTGAATCTCCTGTAGCACTGGATTAAAAAAGCATGAGCCACCAGAAATTCCTGCACTAGATTAAGGTAGAAAATACATCTGCTTAATTCAATATGTTGTCGAGTCCCCCTATATGGACTGGTTTAAAAATAAATAATTGTCAGCAACATAGTCTCTCTCTGAAGAACCTAATAACTAAACTGAAAAAAATTTTGATTCTGCTTTACCTTTAGCTACCAGGACTATAGGCAAGTCAAAGGGAAGAGGGCATAGTCTACCATTGCCTGGTAGTGCCTGCTGATTTCTGGGTGCCAGAGGCCTGCAGGCAACTACATATTTTCTTAATAGCACTATTGTATGACCCCAATGTGACTAGGACAAATTAAAATATCATTTTACCTGCAATTTGAAAGCCTGAAGTACTATTAACTCCCCACAAGGAGGCTCCATTATCAAGTACAAACAAATTCAAAGTGTGAAAAGTATCAACCATTTTAAAAACAGCACATCACGGTACATTAACCTTCATAAATTAACATGTTTTAAATGCTTGAACATTCTTATTGATAACAGTTCGGTGCTCACTATCAATTTAAAGAAGTAACATATCATCTCAGTGCTATGCAATGCTAAGACAAATGTATTTGTATTAA